CGGGCACAGGCTCAGTATTCGCTCAGCACTGTTTTTCAGCCAGTCCCTGCTGTTTTGGGTATATTTTGGTCGCACGCACATCGTACTTAATTATGTATTGTTGGTAAACCTCTTTACAGTCAATATGTTTTAAATAAAAATACTTTATCTATACATATAATAAATCTGTAGAAAAGTCGTGTCTGTAATTCTAATATATTCTTGAAAAAACAAGTCCAGGAGACTAAATAAAGGGTTCTGAAGCAAAATTAGTGGTTTTTAGAATTTTTGTCTGTCTGTCTTTCTGTCTGTCTGTCTGTCTGTCTGTCTGTCTGTATATTCCGGATTCACGTAAAAACTACTTAACCGATTTACATGAAATTTTGTATATAGGTAGTGAGTAATCTGGGGCAACTTATAGGCTACTTTTTATCCGATTACGGAACTTCAAAAAAGGTAGGTTATGCATTCTATTTCCTTTAGATGTTAATTTTCTATTATATCTTAGTTATAGGATAACGGGTGTTTTTCAAATTAAAAGCATATTTGTAAATAAAGTTTAAAATATAATTATAATCTTGGTAAAATAATTTGAAACTACACTGATTTGATATTCAAAACAGCGCCATCTATCATCAAAGGGAAGAAGTAGTATATTTTGCCTTCAGTTACTAATAAATGAAAAATAATATAAATAACTTACATTTATATGATTAAATGATTAGATTTTTAAAATTATTAAAAAAAATTCTAACGTTTAGTTTTTTAGTATTTTTGTTATTTTATTTTAAAAGTGTAAAGTGTATATATGTAAAGTAATTAAAACTGGTACGTCTGCAATTATTGCAAAATTCTCATTATCATTATAGTTTTATTAAAGAGATTAAAGAGCTTTTTATGTATGTCGCGGCCAGATCGGAGAATTGATAATACCTATATCATAAAGTAGTCTATCATTTCGTGAAATGGTGTGGTCATTTCATGATATTTAATACTATTTGTTGACAATGTCATGATATGGCTTGAATGAATAGAAATCGTTTGAAGATATTAATAACTAAACACAACGTTGCTATTTCATAATATGGTTATATGACAATATCATTTAATCATTTTTCACCGCTAGGGGCGCTGATAGCATATTTTTTAACAGAAACAGAACTTTTAAGAGAATTGACATCACTTTATTCCTTATTGATATAATAAATAAATGTTAGCTTCTGTTGCTGATATTACTAGATGGTATAGTTTTGGCTTTCATTATTTCATCTAATATTCTAAATAAACTAAAATTGCAAGTAATCGATAAAATGAAATAATACAATGCTACTGAACATACAATGTAAATAATTGGATCATTTACATTACATTCAGCCCGCGTTGGAATCACCGCAGCGAAGACTTTTTGGTCAAAAACTCTGCGGCCTGTGCCCAGTAGTAACATGTATGTAAGCTACTACTTTATTTACTTTTTTATACTATGCAGTTTTTATTTCATTCGTGTTACTTTTTGTTTTCACTCTGCCGTAAATATTAAGGCTTGCAAAGATGAGTAGAACTCATTATCCTCAGCCTATCAAAAGTCCACTGAGATGAACATAGGCCTCCCCCATAAATTGTCAAGTAGCTGGATATTTGCTATAGTTGCCACGCTTGGTAGGCAAGAAGATCATGCAGCCCATCCCATCTCCAGTTTGTTTTCCTATGTCGCCTCTTACGACGGGACGATATGAGGTGGTGGATTTTCTTTCACCGCCACAACAAGGCGGACATTTTTCTACCCCATGGGTGTAGTGCTCCTCACGTTCACTGTAAATAAAATTTATAAGGAATAAAACTAATTTGAAGGATTTTATCGCGTTTATTTTTTATTTTTAAATTATATATATATATATATATATATATATATATATATATATATATATATATATATATTAGCCTCGCGAATCATCATTGGTAGGATTCGGTGTTCTATTGTAAGGATTTGTTGTCTATCAGATCCGATATCATGGTTGGGACCATACTAAACATGTTGACATACTTTTTTTTTTATAGAATAGGGGGCAAACGAGCATGCGGCTCACCTGATGGTAAGTGACTACCGCCGCCCATGAACAACCGCAACACCAGGGGAATTGCAGATGCGTTGCCGGCCTTTTAGAAAGGTGTAAGCTCTTTTCTTGAAGGTTCCTAAGTCGTATCATACTTTAGACTTCCCGGAGCTTCGGTGCTTCACATCAACGATATGTTCTTTTACTCAGAACTTTCATCTAAAATGCGTAACGTAACATTAGTTTTTATCGATGTGTAGTATTCATTATAATAGATCTCTATTTATGAAATTTTCAAGTCTATTTTCAAGTAAAAAAATATCTACATCTATTTTATGGTGCCAATCAATATTAAATAGGACCAATGATATGAATAAAATGTCTCAAATAAACATTATATTATTTTGTTAAAACTAAATTAATTTTTACTATGAATAAATGTAAAGAGTAAAACGTAAATAATAATATTACATTTTGATTTCAACTATTTACCTTTCTTATGGATACATCGGAATTCGGAAGACACGCCTGATATAAAAAATAGCATGTGTTTCTAGACATATGTATAATATATTCACGTGTTTCTGTAGCATGTTACCAATCATCTACGTCTAATAGTATTTTAGAATGAAAAAATCTTTGACAGACATGGAGACATAGACACCGAGGTGACTAAAAGTGATCGATTTTTTCTAAATTTGGCACGGAACAACATTTAATGATGTTCCTAGATTCAAGCGCACGCGAGCGAAGCCGCGGGTAAAAAGCTAGTTATAGAATAAACATACAGTTATTCGGCCTAAAAAGACTTCTGTTCATGTAATAACTCCTTTTTAACCTTTTTTTTTTAAATGTTGCAAATGTAATATTAAAATTTTCTTTTAAGGGTGTGGCAAATCATTCCATATTTTTGCGGCCGAATATTTAAAACATCCTTTGAAGTTTTTAGTATTATGGCATGGAATATTCAGCTCGTTTGAGACTCTTTTACGTGTATTTACTTCATGGGCATTCTTACTCCAATCTAATTTATTGTATAAATACAGTAGACTTCTGTTACTAATAATTTTGTGAACTAAGCAAACCAAGTGGAGTTTCCTACGTGCGTCCATTTATAAAATATTATTTTCATTAATATATGGAGTAATGTGAGCTCTTTTTGGGACGTTAAAGCAAAAACGAGCACATGCGTTTTGCACGCATTGAATTGCCTTTTTTGTTTTTGCATACAGTCGTTGGCCATAGACGGTATCGCAGTAATTAAAATGTGATAACACTAACGACTCAACTAAGGTCTTCCTGATCGTTACTGTTAAGTATTTTCTTATGCTATATAAAACCTTTAAACGATAAAAAGCATTACGTATTTTAATATTTACATGTTCATTAAATCGTAGTTGGCTACCAAGGTTATTAGTATGATCCACTCTGAGTATCTTTTTATTGTTGATGAGTATTTCCAGTTTCTTACTTATTATTTTTTTACATTGTGTTTTACTTCCTAGCACCATATATTTTGATTTTAAAGGATTAAGTGTTAGACCATTTTTTTTGCCCATTGGAAGATTGCCGACAAATCTTCATTTAACTGCATGACTGCATTTTCCGACTGTTCTGGCTTGAACGAATGATAAATTTGAGTATCGTCGGCATACAGATGTATTTTACTATGTTTTAATACTTTGCTAATATCCGCTGTAAACAGTATGAATAGAATAGGGCTTAAGATAGATCCTTGCGGAGTGCCTCTGGACGTTCTTCTTACACTTGATTGCATTACTTCCCCTTGGTCAGTGTTAATTTCAACATATTGACTTCTATTTGACAAGAATGAGTAAAACCATTTACATGTTGCCTCCGATACTCCGTAGTATGACAGTTTCGCCGGATGTATATCATGGTTTATGCAGTCAAAAGCTCTAGTAAAATCCAATAGCACCAGTATACTACCCTTACCTTTATCAGAGGCAGCTGCATTTATATCACCCGTGACGTGCAACAGAGCTGTTTCCGTACCATACCCTCGACGAAACCCGGATTGTGTTTCTGGTAAAATATGATTATCTTCTAGATATCTCGTTAACTGTTAACATACTACCCTCTCCAATATCCTGGAAAGTGTAGGTAAAATGCTGATTGGTCTAAATAATAATCAATTTCATAATCTATATTCCATGACACAAGTTGGCGCCAAAGAAATAACTTTTTAATTATTAATCTATAATGTTTTTTATCATTTAAGTATCTAACTTACCAATGAAAAGTGATTCTTTGGTTTTTACTAATATTTCGTGAATTTTTTGTGCAATATCTAAGAACAAACCCCGGCATATTTTATCAAGAGAATTTTTTTTTAAATCAACACAACACGTGACAACTCTACAAGCGCCTAGCGAGCGACTGATTAAAGTGCGGTGACATTGCCGCATTTGAATGAAACTGCGTAACTTAGTGCAGTGTCGCCTCTAGTACGTAGTACATAATAACTCAATGGTTCAATATTATTACCCTTGACATCCATTAACATGGAGAATAAATTACACTGTCACAGCAAATCGCGACTTTTAATAAGCTGTTATAATGATGGTGATGATGATAATGATTTCTTAAATACTACTACTTTATTCTTAAGATTTATGTTTATTTTAAAATAAACAAATATATTTCCAATATAATTGGCAGAATGACTGTTATGCTGTGTCTATAAACTATTGTTTTAAAAACTTAGTTTCTTTTCTAGCTTGCTACATATTTAATATTTGTTTATCTATGTTCTTTTCGCGTTCGCGCCAAAATGTGTGATGTTAAAACACCTGTAAACAAAAGTCGAAAACTTAAATAATACTTTATTTTATAAACTTTGTAAAATTTAAAATAAAAGATTTTGAATCGATTCACGAAACGGTCTTTGAAAGATTATTAACTTTAACACTGAATGCTTGAGTGAAATTTGTTCAAATTATAAACCAAATGGCAAGGACTAAAGCATCAGTCGGCGCAAAAGGTATGACTTCTATTTTTGTTTATTTTTAAAGTGAACTGTTTTTATTTTAAAATAATATTATAAAACAAAGTAAGAAGACGTGTTACTTCATTTTATCACGTGAAGATTCTTGTTGTTACACGGATTCTGCCACATTCATATTTAGTGAATATCATCGTCTCTTCCAGTGGCTGCAGGCAAAAGCAGTAAAGCAAGGTGCAGTGTTGCTCCTCCGCCCAGTACTGCAGGTTCCACAGGTAATAACAATTTCCTTTAATTTCATAACATGAAAAGAATGAGGTTGCTACTTCCTTTGTGCATATGTTGTACATACTCATTGCTATTAAGATGATATCTATTCTGCAAGAAATGTGGGGAATAGCTTTTTAACAATACTATGAACAACTCTGTGCCCAAACAAACTAGTTTTTTTTGTTATACAGTTGACCCGCTGTAATTGGACAAATATTTTGCAAGGCCATGATGGATTTAAAATTTGTCAGACTATAGAGTACTGCAACAACCCTCTAGTAATCCGGAACTTTTTGAAAATTAGTACTTTGTGATCCAACAAATTACATATCAATAATAAAATATAAAAACGCATGTAATGCACAATGAATACCTAAACAGTAAATGATGTATGGCCACAAGGCGAAGGAGAAGGGGCGTGGGGATTAGGCAGGGGCCGGGTTACCGGAGGTCCACTGTGTAGGGGTAGTGCCTAGGCTTGCCAACTTTAGTGCACCCATTTACAGGACAAAATATGCGATGATAAATGTTGTATCAGAAATAAGATTTTACTTTATAATTACTAATATATATATATAATTATATAATTAGTAATTATAATAACTAATGATTTTCAGGTGGCGGAGAGAAGTCGTCCAGGAGTTACTCTGGAGGGAATCCAGTGTGTCCCAGAGAGACTCCAAAGTGGCAGAAACCTATCACCAACTTCTTCATTACAAATAACAGCAGCCATGATTCAGGTGGAGAAGAAACAGATGTTGCAGGTATGGGAATTACATTCTTTTGATAGGTCTGCAAGTATTGCCACCCTTAACTTTACCTGTTTCAGTAGTTGGTAGTGGTTAAAAGTTCAGCTAAGGTGCTAAGGGGCTGCAGGTCTGATTCATAGATAGAGTATTTATTATAACTATGTTATAATAAATACTCATCGAACCAACAGGGAATCAAATCATTCTAGTTGTTGTGAAAAAAAATTATAAAAATTTAAAGCAGATTTATAGAACTTAAAAGAATATAATAATTTCCACATAAAAGCTGTTGAAATCCACCTAAGAGTCTCTAAGACGTAGTGTATCAGAGAATAAAAGTCCCTTTTGTTAAGTAGTTTGTTACCGTTATAGTCTATTAAACTCCACTGCTGAACATAGGTCTCCTCCGTTGATTGCCTCATAGGTGGGGATATTTGCCATAGATACCACGCTTGGAAAGTGGGTTGGCAATAGGGCATCAGAACCGGTTATTCCTGTTTCCAAAAGAAATGGGATTTCCCAGTTTTTAGGGGTCACTAAAAGAACCGGTTCCAAAAATTTAAAACCTGGTTCTTTCGGTTCCTTTACAAAATTTCTTAAAAAGTAAATCACTACAATTTAGTGTTATAAAAAACGTGATTATTAATCATTTCTGATATTTATGGCAAACAGTAGGATTTGTAATGATATATAATTTAATTTGGTAAAAATTTTCAAGGGTTCCCCCACTAAAAGTGATGAAATTCTTCAAAAGCATATCATAACTGATTTCGGACAAGAATATTGTTTGGTTTTAGTTGCCGGCTTTTTAAAAAGGAGTTTTTAAATAACTCACTTCTGCTGGAACAACCTAGTGTGTCTATATTAAAGTCACAAAGAATAAATATCTGATAGTAAGTTTAAATAATAATACCTCAAGTTTTTACTGACTAATATTACTGTTAGGCGTTCTGTACATACATAATATAATATACCAATTTCTTCTGGAATTTTTATACCACAGCACTGAAAGTGGTTTTCAACAACTAGTTCAGTGATCTGGTCAATTTTTTTGTAGTTGGTCTTGGAGTTGTTAACATAAATACATACACCACCTCGGGATTTATTTTTTCTTGGGAAATAAGTTGCCATTTTGACAAAATATGGACGGATTCTCTGACATCGCTACAACACGCATTCCCTTTTTTTCATATAGAATAAGGGTGACAGGATCAGAGTCCACCTAATGGTAAATTCAATAAATGGATGCTGTGGCCCATCTGTCCTCGATTAAGTTTCAAAATGCAGATGTGTTGTCACCCCTGAGAATTAAGATAGAATACCTCTTTACCAGCAAAATGGTTTCCATTTCTCTATACTCACCATACAAAACAGCTGTATTAAGCTGCTATTTCACAATGGTATTCTGTGAGAGTGTGGTCCTTCTCCAGTTGACCGACTCATTTGTGATAAAAAACATATACAAATTAATAACAAATTTTTCCATATTTTTTACAGAAAGCACCTCAAAACCAAAATCAAAACGCAACATAATTCAATCGGACGACGAGGAAAATGAAGCTGATCTCCCCAAGAATAGTGAACTAGATGAATCAATAATTCTAGAGCCTTTGACCGGTGAAAACAGTCATAAAATTGAAGAATATTACCTTAAAAACAACAAGGGAAAGGGAATGGGAAAGAAAACAAATAATAAAGAAAATATTGATAATAATACAAAGAGGAATTCGGTGAAGCGGGATCTAGAAGATATTAACTTTGGCCAAGAAAGTGATCACGCTGTTAAGAAGATTAAAGTGAATTGAAGTGATTGTGGAATTAACTGAGTGTTTAGTGACAGTTACCAGTTATGTATTACGAAGTTAAAAGACTTGTGTTTGTCACTTAAATGAATTTGACATTTTGAAATCATCTAACATCATCTTTTTGATCTGAAATCAGCTTCGGTTATCTTTATAGCAATATAAATATAATATATTGCTATAGTGCTATAAAAATAACCTAATCTGATTTCAGAATTGTTTGTAATTATCACTAAGTTATAACTAAAGTTCATTGGACGAAAATGGTGACATTTAAAGGTATTTTCATGTTGAATTAACTAGAAGTATAAATATTATTAAAATGTTACAGCCATGTGGGATGAAAGTTGAAGAGTTGTACATGTGGTAGAGCCACGTTGCAGCTATAATATGGTTGTAGCATGAATGGGTCGGCTCAACCAGGAAAGGACCACACTCAAAGCTTAATGTTGCTGTTTCGTATGGTGAGTGTAGAGAACCGGAGACACGGGCAAAGAGGCATTCCATCATGTTCCTCAAGGGTGATAAACCATCTGACATTTCCACTTTGATTCTTAATCAAAGATAAATACCATCAGCTGGTCTGTGTGCTCGTTTGTCACCCTTATTCTAAAAAACCTGCTTTAATCATATTTCAGCTTGTTGGAATATTTGAGCAACAAAATAGAAAACTTTTTTTTATATTATTGTACTTAATATAAACCCTACTAATAAGAAATATTTATTTACGTTTGCTCAAGTCCATATTCAAACCGAGGATTGTATCAACCGATTCTTTTACCACTGAGTCTCATAACTTAGTTAATTTTTTGAGATTAAACTTGTTAATTAATTCGACACCTTTGAAGTATCTTAATAGTTTATATTTTGTTTTTGTGATATTCATTGCTTTTATTTAATATGATTTAATAAAGATGTCTGACCCGTTGTATTTATCATTTATAAGACAGTTTATTTGTATGTTAAGAATTTCACTGTCTGGTTTTCAGACACATTAGTAAGACAACAGCAATGATATGTAGTGCACGGGACAGCGAAAGGGTTAATAGGAAATATTCAATATGTAATTGATTTGGTTTTCGATGGTGATAATTCCTAATGTGTATTGGCGGTGTTAAAATATCCACTACACCCATTGAGTTATATGTACTACGTAGTAGAGAAGCCTTTCTAAAGTAAAAATGTGCGCTACTCTATGTCTTCGCGCATGCGCGGGAGATAGTAGATTCGCGCTCACGCAGTAGACTTAAGCGCGTTGCTTCTGCGCGGTCAGTTTATTTAAAGAAATATATTTTTTCATGATTTTTTTTCTTTCGTAATATTACGATATTATTACCTATTAAATAACTTGAATCTATACAAATAAATAAAATTGAAGTGTCTGTTTGTAATGTCAACATTACAGCTTTTTACTAAATGCATATGAAAGTATATACAGTACTAATAACAAAAATACAATTTTTAAAGTTTTTGTCTGTCTGTCTGTCTGTTTGTTCCGGCTAATCTATAAAACGGCAGGACCAATTTTGACGGAATTTTCACTGGTATATAGCTGATGTCACAAGGAATAACTTAGGCTACTTTTATTTTAGAAAAATAATTATGGTTCCGCGAAAAAAAATGAAAACCTCAAATAACACGCGGGCGAAGTCGCGGGGAACAGCTAGTAACAAATAATTTTACTTACTTGACTACTGAATTGTTATTTACGTCAATGTTTAAACTTTAATTTGAAATCTTGTATTATTAGCGCCGCTCCACACTGCATAAATATTGAAACCACACTAAATGACACGGTACGTATTGCAGTACAGTTCAGTTGAACATAGTGTATGTTCGGAATGTGCAATCTAGTACGTAGTACATATATATCGATGACTACACCATATAATCCCGTGTGTGTTGCAAGTGATGACAGAGGGAAACTAAAACAGGAGATAAGCAGCAGTATCTTTCTGATTACAACTCAAAATATTAAAAACCTGTGGTTCCCAGTCCTCCTGTTAATCGTGGCAAAATCTTTCCTATGGGGCAATTTGTAGGGTGTCCTATATGCAGTGGACTTTTATACTAGGCATGGGCAAGGGAAAAAATATATCAAATCGAAATTTTTAAACAGTATCCATATACGTGATAAATATCGATATATCGTCATCATTCGCATGATGTAAAGATAAGGTCCAAAATTTTTTATTATTGACGGTTGGAGAAAAACGGCAACTAACCATACATAAATACTTTTGTAGCTCCTTTCCTCCTTTTGTTGTTACATGTTTTGTCATTAATACAACATTTTAAAATATATCGAAATTGATACGAATTCGATACTCTAAAATAAATATCGACGATATATATCGATATTTTTTGCCCAATCCTATTTTAAGGGCTGTAATGGATACCCAAAGTTGATAAATTATTAATCTTAGATCACCACATTGCTATTAATATTATAAAATATTGGCTTTTTGTAATTAAGCCATCTATGTAAATGGTAAAGCCATGTTGCAGCTGTATAGTTGTAGCATGAATGGGTTGGTTCGACCAGAGAAGAACCATGCTCTCCCAAAATACCAGCTTAATGTTTCAGTGTGTTGTGTGTGGAACTAGGCATTACGTGTTAGTTCTCAGGGGTGAGAACACATCTGTATTTTGATTCTTAATTGAGGATAGATGTACATGTCTATGGGCCACAGCATCCATTTACGACCAGGTAGACTGTGTGCACGTTGATCACCCTTGTTCTATGGGAAAAAATTGACATAGGCCTATCCTGTATTAAGGTAATAAGGATGTTCTATAAAAATGTGTAAGAAATCTTTCTGTTCACAATTTATGTAATGTCCTCCAGACAGAATTCTGGTCACGGCGGCCAGTTTCCACGGATATTGGCCCATCTGCGTCAGAATATGATTATAGTGCACGAGCACTCTATTGCTGCACTCTCATAGTGCGATGGGACGGTAATCGGACACGTCTAGAGAGAGATCAGGCGCAATACCAACGGCTTTACGTGCTTTCAGAGACACCGCACCTGGGAGAAACACTGAAAACCCCAGTAACTAATTCTAGTATTTGAATCCACGACCACGAGATCAACGTGAAAGTCAAAAAAAATGTGAATTATGTAAATAAATTATAAATAATAAAATACGGCTATAAACTTGAGATTAAAATGAGGTAAATAGTCAGGCCTCAACCGGGAAAGGACCACGCCCTCAGAATACCAGCGTGAAATAGCAGCTTAATACTGCTGTGTAAACGGCAGACCTTATAACTGGCAACGTATCATTTTTATAAAGTGCTCTTTGGGCAACGAAGTTTTAAATTTCAGTGTTTTAAGGTAACAACGCAATTGTGTGTCGATTGTCGAATAAGCACACAGGTCACCCACTGGTAAGTTCTGTTGCCCATGTTCATCGATTCAGAATCAGTAATTCAGATGCGTTGTCACTCCTGAGCCTTGAGGACTAAGATGGAATGCCTTGTTTCAAGAAGAAAGGGTTTCCTGTTCTATACCTATACTCACCTTGTTCAGGGCGACAAACGTGCACACAATCCACCTGATGGTAAGTGGATATTGTGACCCATAGATGCCTACATCTATCCTCTATTAAGAATCAAAAGGTAGATGCATCGGCGTCTTTGAGTAAGATGGAATGCCTTGTTGCCAGTAAAAAGGGTCTCCGGTTCTGTACACTCACCATACGAAACACAGCAGCGTTAATCTGTTTTTTCACGCTGGAAGCTGGTATTATGCAAGAGCGTGGTCTTTCGCCAGTCGATCCGACCCATTCAGGCTTCAACCATAGAACAGCTGCAAAACAGGTGTAACACAAAACGTATGAAAAAATAAAAACTTACTGGCTGCATTAACCTCGGAAATGAGCGTGGGCCTGTGGCAAGCAGTTGGACATATATAGGCTGTAACTATGTGTTATATAATCCAGTAGATCGCACTGGCAATTCCTTTCTTGAGCTCTTACGTTATATCACAATCAGGGGCGTAGCTACCACCGTATCAGCCGTATCACAGATACGGGGCCCCCGGGCTACAGAGGCCCCGAACGTATGTAAGCAAAAATTCTAAGGACTTCTATGGGACAGGGTGTTGGTTTGAATTGTTTGGCTAGCTTAGTTCCTAGGAGTATTCATTGTAAGTAATAACTTATAATCAATATATAGTTATTTTAAATCAATGCGAGAGTTTTTGTTCCTTTTGTGAAAAGTCTTTAGTAATAGAAAAATCATTAGGGCCCCCCGACAAATTTTGATACAAGGGGCCTCTAAGGCACGCTACTCCACTGATCACAATATATTAATTTATATTGCGACTCGTCCGCGTGGAATTTACTACGATTTCAAGCGTTTTAATTATTTTCACGAAACCCTGATTCTTTCTCTAAAATAAAAGTATCCTAAGTTACTCCTTATAACATCAGCTATCTGCCAGTGAAACTCCCGTCAAAATCGGCCCAGCTGTTTCGTAGATTAGCCGGAACAAACAGACAGACAGACAAAAATGTTGAAAATTGTCTTTTTATTATTAGTACCGTTTATACTTTCATACGTATTTAGTAAAAAGCTGGTATTTTGACATTACAAACAGACACTAAATAGCACAAACGACTCATCGAACACGTCCAAATGGCTACAGATACCCTGCTACAACAGATCCCATCCGCAGTGATCGTGATCTTTGGCGATTTTAACGCCCACCACGCCGAATGGCTCAGTTCACGTTTAACTGATCATGCGGGGAGATTTGTTTATGACTTGGCATATGGTCTGTCACAAATGGTTACTTCGCCTACGTGGATTCCAGATGTGGAGGATTATACACCTTTCCTGTTGAACCTTCTGCTGACCTCCCATCCGGACGGATATCAGGTTTTTCTCGATGCTTCTCTCGGCTCTTCGGACCATTGTCTTATCCGGAGTGCGGTGCTACTAACGCTCTGTTCGCCTGATGTACGATTCACACAGTGCTCAGTACCCAAAGCACC